GGGGGCAGTGGTGCATTACGACCAGTACATTCTGGTACGGTGATCCGGAGGGTCCACCCGCCTACCCATGCTCCTTACCCGTATTTGAGCTCTTCAGTGCTTCTGCACACAGAGCGTATGGCACCTGCGTGATGCTCCACCAAACAGCTGGAGTGTCACAGTGGTGTCACGGAACATCGCAGAGGTGTCGCAGGTAGTAAGTATGCATGCCCCGCCCGAGTGTTGAGTGTTGAATGAAAGTTGTGTTTTACCGTTTATTTTTATTCACATATTGNAATGGATATGATCATTTAAAAAGCTGAATGGAACAAGGAAATGAAAAACCACATTTTATCTACAAATTAGGGAATAGAGTTTTTTAAATTTAATTTTATTGATTTTCTATTAAATACATTTCTTACTGCTTAATAAATATCATGTTGTCTGTGTGTTTAATTTGCTTAACAATACAAATTATGGTTTTTAATCTCAATAATAAACGTCTCAGTAGGTGTATGTGTGTGCGCGCACGCATCTTCAAGTCAGGTAGTTAGAATAGAATACACTTAAAATTTAGAGCCATGTATTTTTTTCTGCCAACATTTATCAAAATGGTTTGCCCTTAGGTTCTTTCTAGGCCTAAGAAAATGTAACTGGCCCAAGGTCACCCAACTGGCTTTGTGCCTAAGAGTCACAGTCTCCTTGTTTCTAGCAAACTGTATCGAACTGGGTCTCCAACAGATCTTCAACTATGACTCATTCAACCAAAAATAAGATTTCAGGTTCATTGGACACCATTGAACTTGTACAGAAAAATAATGAACACATGTTTTGGGAGATGCTATATTTTGCAATGTTTTTAAGTGGTTGTCCTCTAGGAAGAAGTACCATAATTGGATATATTTACTTGATTTTGAGGTAAGCTTTAATATTTTGGGATGCCCAAATTGTTTTAAATTGCATGCCAATTACCTGAAAATTGACATTTGGACAATGGAAATTGATTTTCTCCTTTCATGTTCCCTCTTTTTGTTCAGTTAGTTAGTTAGTTAGTTAGTTAGTTAGACAGATAGACAGACAGACAGATATCTATCACATTCTGTAACCATGTTATACTCATGTTTATAAGGTATACTTGACTTTTTTTGTTAAATTAATAATAGCAGTAACTGCAGAAAGGTCATTCTCCAAGCTAAAGCATACAAAGGAGTCAACTGTTCAACAACATTTCACAAAAGATTGTTGCTACTCTTGACTGAGAATGAGCTTGCCAGAAAAATACATACAATATTCAAAAGACAAGTCAGGGTGTTATCAGATGGCAACACTCAGAAGGACTGTTGAGTAACCCTTTATAACACACCTGCACAAGAACCTGTGGTGAAGGAAGGTGTTGTGTTCCTGCTGAGCTGAATAGGATTGATTCACTGTGACTGCACAGTACAGACATGCAACATGGGAGGCTAATAAACAAACAGAAGAAGGTAAGAGTGATACTTACCAACTTCATAGAGTGTCTGGCTGCTTGCCTAGAAAATAAGTCACTAATGCTAGTGGTTTAATTATTGGGGATTTGGTTTGGCTTGTTGACAGAATGAGATATTATTGATATTACCATTATTATGTTTGCACGTTGCATATTTATTATAAGCACTTTGCATATTTCAATCTGTATTCAAAAATGCAAGAAGGGCCTGCTCGTTCACTGATTTCTGTACAATTTATGCCATTATTATTCAACTCAATATATGTCTTTGCTGTCATGGACATGGCATGATTGATTTGTCATGGGCCTATTCTGCCTTAACACACACTGACATATAATTTGGTCTCAACACTCATCTTAACTTTCTTCCACCTTTGAAAAAGTTGAGATGAATGTACATAAATGTAGATGAGTTGGCAAGCTACTGGCCTTATTGTCAATCTAATTGTATCAATATTGATCAACAATTCTTAAACAGACTTCCCATTTATTACTCCTAATCATAGGAATAAGGGGGAAGGGGCAAAAAGATTTTTGGTTAAGTAATTCTATGACAAGTTTGGTTTACTGCTTTTGTTTTGTTTGTTGCTGGCACACTAAAATCACTAGAAGTACATGCTGCATGGGGATATTGTCAAACTAAAATAAAATTAAGAGCTTCCTTGCTTAGTACATAATCTAATACAAAGGCAAAGAAGCTATACTGGTTTTGTGACCATACATAAGTCAATTTATTAATTATGAATATAAAAGGAGTCAGTGGAGTAGAATGAGTTGATGCTCAAAATGACAGGGCTGCTGAACATGTTTGTGTTCTACTTCTGTGTGAATATCCTCCTCCCCAAAATTAAAAATCACATATGGGTAAGAACAGCTGATCTCAGGTATTACAGCATCACACACACATATCTGCAGGGAAAAATTTCACTTGCGTACCTGGCTATTTGGATGGTTCTAGTTCAGATTTGATCGTGGAGCTCTTTGGTTTGGGCTGCTTGCATCATCTGCATTTTGGCATGGAGGTTGGTTTGTCTTCTTCCTATCAAACAGTCTTCAGTGTTTTTACAGCAGTGATTACTACACAAACTATAGCTTTTGAACTTTGTAGCTTGGGAAGATGGACAACATAAAACAAACTGAAAATAACTCTATAACAAATGGTAAAATGATTAAAATATGTCTACAGCACAAAGAATAATGTGAAAAGAAAGACAAGTTTAAATATTGTTGTGTAAGAAAGGGATGAAAACAAGACAAGGATGAGAATAAGTAAAATGATAGGCTGGAACATCTGGGGAAAGTAAATACAAAGACAAGATAATGGTACATTAATAAAACAGCAAACTTGACTTTTCAAGAGGAAAAAAGCTGTATCAAACCTTTTGGAATTTGATACTAGTGGA